CGCGACATGGTCCAAGTAACCCACGCGCTGTATAATACCCATCATGAAAGAGGACTGGGCCATAATTTCATCAACAGTCGTTGCAAACGTATTCACCTTGCTGGGCGCAATACGACCATTGTAGGCGGCGGGCCGTAAAGTCCAAATAATCATGATGAGAACCTCCGCAGTTTTGCATCATTAAAAAACCCTGATCTCCAGGCAACCAGCCCCCTCGGTCAGTTCCTGCCGAGGCGCAAATGCCACCCCTGCCCTGCGGGTTTTGTAGAAAACCTCAACAAAGATGCAACTTGGATCAAACGGATAGCTTTGCAGAACGAGCTGGTAGGACTGAGCAGTGAAGGATGATGCAACGTCGTCCAAAATACGCCAACAAACAGGTTTCTCCCCTGAATTGGCACACTTTCAGCTCAAAGTTGGGGGAGGGGGCTGGAGCCCAAGTTGAGGGGGGGGGGGCAACAGAATAGGGGACTACCTCCTTGATAGGCATGCTTTTTGTTTACCAGCAAATTATAAGCTAGAGTATCAGTTGAAAATGCAATTAGAGAGTTAAGTGCATGGTATGTCCAGTGCCTGCAAGTTTCGGGGAATGTTGGAAGCGCTCTGAGCTTCCGACACCATCCGGGTGGCCGCGACAGTCGGCTGCGTCTCTGAGCCTCCGACACCATCCGGGTGGCCGCGACAGTCGGCTGCGTCTCTGAGCCTCCGACACCATCCGGGTGGCCGCGACAGTCGGCTGCGTCTCTGAGCCTCCGACACCATCCGGGTGGCCGCGACAGTCCGGCTGCGTCTCTGAGCCTCCGACACCATCCGGGTGTGCCGCGACAGTCGCTGCGTCTCTGAGCCTCCGACACCATCCGGGTGGCCGCGACAGTCGGCTGCGTCTCTGAGCTTCCGACACCATCCGGGTGGCCGCGACAGTCGGCTGCGTCTCTGAGCCTCCGACACCATCCGGGTGGCCGCGACAGTCGGCTGCGTCTCTGAGCCTCCGACAACCATCCGGGCGGCCGCGACAGTCGGCTGCGTCTCTGAGCCTGCGACACCATCCGGGTGGCCGCGACAGTCGGCTGCGTCTCTGAGCCTCCGACACCATCCGGGTGGCCGCGACAGTCGGCTGCGTCTCTGAGCCTCCGACACCATCCGGGTGGCCGCGACAGTCGGCTGCGTCTCTGAGCCTCCGACACCATCCGGGTGGCCGCGACAGTCGGCTGCGTCTCTGAGCCTCCGACACCATCCGGGTGGCCGCGACAATCGGCTGCGTCTCTGAGCCTCCGACACCATCCGGGTGGCCGCGACAGTCGGCTGCGTCTCTGAGCCTCCGACACCATCCGGGTGGCCGCGACAGTCGGCTGCGTCTCTGAGCCTCCGACACCATCCAGGTGGCCGCGACAGTCGGCTGCGTCTCTGAGCTTCCGACACCATCCGGGCGGCCGCGACAGTCGGCTGCGTCTCTGAGCCTCCGACACCATCCGGGCGGCCGCGACAGTGGGCTGCGACAGTCTGGTGCCCTCACCCACGGCACGTCACCCGCGCACAACCGCCCGACCCTCCCGCTACGGGGTGACCGGTCCGGCCTGTGCCGCAGGCCGGGCGTGGCCGGCTGGACTTGAACTCCCAACGCCACTGGCCGCTGGGTACAGCCCGCTCTCAAAGCGTGATAGGCGCGCTGGCATTGGTGCGGTACGGTGCCTTTATCATGTTTGGGCGGGTGCATTGCCAGCACCAGGCGAGCACTAGCCAGCCAGCCAGCCAGCCAGCCAGCCAGCAGTCCACCGGGCGTCAATGTCTCTGTCAGATCACCCAGTGACCTGGATCGATCCCTGACCGCCGCCTGAGCTGGAGCTGCCACTTGTTCGGCCAACGCCACCGGCCGGCCCGCCGCACGTGAGCCGCCTGGCGAGCGTGACGTGGGAAAAGGGAGGGGGCTGTTGCACGCCTCCAGGCGGCCGGGCACCATCGCGCGCAGTCGTGCGGTCCGCCGCGCACGCGTGCCGTGGAGGGTATGGTGACCTTTTATTGCCCTGTCCGGCATGCGCTCCGACACTAGCGGGCCGGCTGCTGGCCGGGGCCGAGCGGCGGCGGCGTCCTGCTGTTGTGGGCAGGGCTGTTCGGCGAAAAGCCTGGAGCGGAGCCGTGCCAAGCGTCGTGGGCTCGTGTTGTGTCAGTGAAGGCTGGCTTCCGGATGGCCGGCTAGTCGCCGATCGATCGGCAAGCCGCGGAGGTCGGCCAGCCGACCGGGCGGAGAGGGGGGAACGTTGAAAAATACATGGATTCGCACCGCGGGTTCGGTATGCATAAATCCATTCCGTCGATCGGGTCGGCCATGGTTACAGGTTCATATATGCGCTTGATTGATTAAGTACCAAGTTAGAATCACTCATAAATACTCAACATTCACTTGGGCACCACGGACCGTGGCTGGAACTAGTTGAAGTCATGTAGTCAAACACGACCGACCGCCTCCAGTCCTCGGCACGGTTTGGCCCGGGCCCTCACCGCCGGGGGCCCGGCAGGGGTGTCCCTTCTGGGTCACGCTCCCCCGACCTGTCGCCGACCCGGCCGTCCCAGACGTCCGCTTCACTGGCCTCATTGGCCGCGCCTCATTGGGGTCGCCGCCGCTATAAGTGGGGCGGGGGCGGCAGGGGGGTCGCGCCCCCGAGCTGCCCGCCGGGCCTCGACGACGCCGGCTGTCCGCAGGACCGGGCTGAGGCGCCGGCGCTGTCGGACTCGGCCGGCCAAGTCCTGGATGTGCACGTCCGCGACGAGGTGGCGGCGAGGGCCCCATTCAGAGATTGTCCCACTTCCTCGTGAGTCATTCCCCAGACAGAGAAGGCTCCTTCGTCTGCCCTGTCACCCGACGTCTCTTCTGTTCTTGGAATGTGTCCAGGCACGCTTTGTGGGTCTGGAGATTAGGTCACTGAAGGAGAAAGGGCATGCGTCTTTATTTATACCACGCCTCCGTTTGTCTGAGGCGGCCACGCCGTCGTCACTGCTCAAGTGCACATCCTTTGAAGGGACTGGTGTTGGTTTTTGCGAGGCTGGTGTGTTCATGCTTTGACGCGCATTTCGTCCCCCGCGAGGATGCAAATGCTCCGGCGCTTTGCTACATTAATCCCACGTCGTTATTTACCGATTCGGAAGGGGTCGTGAATAAGCTAGTCCGGAGCGGGGCTTGGCATGCTGATGCAGCCACGCTGTCGACTGTTTGGGTATCTTTGCGTACAAACGTGACCTGTTATTGTCACAACAATGCCAGTCGCTGGTAACATGTGAGCGGAAACCGTACTGTTTTACGCCGTCTGTTTATTGTCGCTCTACTGTTTACCGTGGTTGTATTTTTAAGAAGCCAAAATACGTCCGCGGATGTGGCGCTCCCCGCCCTCTTCCCGTTACTGGAAATTACGATACGACATCCAGCCGGCGGTGCTCGGCGGCTCGTACCAAGACAAACACGCCGATCGGACGAGGCGTCCTCGCGGCCTGGAAACCCACGCTGTCGCTCCGTCGTCGGGGGCATGACGACGCTGTCGCTCCGTCGTCGGTGGCATGAAGCATTGGCGGCCGTGGCGGGAGGGGGCTCGACTGTTCCGTCGCTGTGTTGGGGCACGCTCCTGGCGGGACGGACGCTTGTCTACCGACGCGGTGCTGTTACGTCTCCGTCGCTGTGTTGGGGCACGCTCCTGGCGGGACGGACGCTTGTCTACCGGCGCAATGCTGTTACGTCTTTGCCGTGCTGTAAGGCGCAGCGTGCGAGAAATGAGGCGTTTAACGATGCTGGTGCTGGTTTGTGATCAGGCACCTCCAAGCCGTATGGTGGTCTCTTTGTTCTGATTACCAAAGCTTTGTCGCATCCTGGCACGTGAAGGCACGTTTGCTCGCATGTGCGTCCAGGGGTGGCGGGGATAGTCACTGGCCTCTCCTTCCTCACAGCGGCGCGAGGCATGCCGCCGCTGTCCAGGAAGCCGCGCACGGGGGCACTCGGGGTCAGCGGGCCGGCCGGCGCCGCCGCCTGGCCCGCCTCCAGCCACGTGGCCATATCGCCTCAGCTATTTCCAGGTCTGCGTGCCGCGATCATGTCCGGCCTGCTTGGCCCGGCTGCTGTGGAGCCGGCGGGACTGACGGCTCAAGCTTGGCGCGCTTTGTTGGCGGGCTTTTCCGGGACAGCGGTCGCATCAGCCGAGACAGTGCTGGTCTTAATGGGCCTTCCGACGGCTGCTTTGTGCCCGGTAGCCAGACTCACATCTGTTTCCACTCGACGTGCGCCTCAGGTTAGCGGAGAAGAGGTTCTTTTGTGGTGGTTGGGCAATTGGGCTGAGGCTTTCCCAAATGGCGAAGTCTGCACCAGACCAGCTCGTTAAATAGTGCTGCGAGGGGCTGAAACGAAGAACGAATAACGTTATTAAATGTTTCCGCTGGTCGCGAGGGCAGACCAAAGTTACCGATGGCCAGTGTGCCTGCCTGGCCAGCTGGCAGCTTCTGAGTGCCGAGCGTGGTCCAGCTCACCCGGACGTCCGATCGCCAACTTCGACGGGGCTCGATTCTCGGAACGACCGTCTTTGCGCAGTTGGACACGGGGGCGCGTCAGCTGGACACGGTAGCGCGCGCCCCGTGCTCCGCACCGTCCACGGGTTGCCCCCGCGTGTTCGGCCTCTCCCCGCCGGGTCACGCGGCGGCGGCCAGACGGCGGTGACGTCGTCGGACCGTTCCGCTCCAGATGCGGCCGTCTGTGGCCGGCGCGCCGCGCCCCGGCAGCGTGACCTGCCGGCGTGCCTGCGGTTGCGGCGGCGGTCGCGGCGGTGACCGGCCCGTGCCCGGTGGCGGCGCGCGCCCGGCCGGAGCGCGTGCTGCCGCCGCGGACGCGGAAACTGCGGCCGCCGCGGGCCGGCGGCTGGCGGCCGGCCAGCGGCGCTATACACAGCCGCCGCCGCCGCCGCCGCCGCTCCCGCCCAGGTGACAGTCGACTGCGAGCCGCCGTCCCGGGCGTCGGCACGACCTCGGGTCACCGCCGTCAGCGGTCGGGAGGGCATACGCTAGGGAGGGCCGCGGGCCGCCGCCAGTGCCGCGCCGGAGACGCCGCGAACGTCAGACGCGACCGGAGGCGCTCGGGAGGGCAGCGCCGCCGACGCCGCTGGAGACGGTCCGCGTCGGTGTGGCGACCTCGGGTCACGGGCGCCGAGGCGGAGAGCGCGCCGCAGCGACCGACGAGAGGGGACAGCGAAGGACGGGAGACCGCTGCCGCCCGTCGTCAGCTGTGTGGACTGGCGACAGTCGGTCGGCTTTCCTGCCGAGGACATGATGGGCATGTGCCAGCGGAGGGAAGTCATATCAAGATAGCGAAGATTTCAAGTGAGAAACGTGCTCCGCACATTCCATTGCAGCTGACTGGTATTGACGTCATCGCAGATATGCTGCCCAGGTAATCCTCTGTGCGATGTATCGCACATGCTCCAGACCGTGGCGGCTTTCGTGTCATGGTTCCGTGGATGGTTGTTCGATTCCCTTTCCTCTCGAAGTCCTGCTTTGGAGCTCCGAAAATCCCTTCCTTTAGAGGTATCTGATAAATAGCCCTTGCCTGGGCCCTCTGAGCTCAAGAACATGTCATTTCCTGATCGTTTCTTTCGCCCGCTCCCAGTAACTGCTGATGTGATGCTCTCTTCTGGAGACCCGCACACATGACACGTCCGTGGAGCTGCGGTTGCATGACCTCGCCAGCTTCGTGTTCAGCACTCAGTCATCTGTAGATACGCCGCGCTGTGCAGTGTTCCTGCGCCCTGCATCCAGCCACCCCTCTGGATCCAGAACGTCACGCTTTTTCATCAGGCATCCAGACAATTCTCATCTCCTCGCCGGACTGACGCGGCGCCTTCGCATGGCGTCGTCCCCGCTTCAGTCACCCGGTCGGTGACTGTCCGCTGTGGGGGGTGGCTCCGGTGTCCACCCCGCGAGCCCGACGCTGGCGTCTGCCACCGGCGGCGCCCGTCTTACCATGTGCCACATCTGCTGGCCGTCGGAGCCGGACCTGAGCGCCGTTCCAGCGCCGTTTCAGTGTCTGAGCACCGATCCAGCGCCGTTCGGCCTGACTGAGGGGGGTCTGCCGGCGCGGCCGGCCGAGCCTTCCGCCGCCCGGTCATGCGGCCAGGCGGCCCCGTTAGTGGGCCAGCACGGGACAGACGCGGTACTTCAGCGGCCGGCGCCGACTTCGGGCGCGAGATACGAGCCGGCTCGGGGCGGCGGCAGCGGTGAGCGGCTGCGAGCGCGGCGGGGGCCTCAGCCCGGCCGGGCATATTGGCCGTGAAGAGTGAGCTGCTAAGACGCCGTCGTCATAACAGACTCGGTTAGGCTGCGTGCCGGCCCGGCGGCCCGAAATAGCCGACGTGAATCAGTGCTTGGTCGGGTTATCGTCTGCAGGTGGCTGGTCTGTTTGGCGGCGGGCGGGCGGAGCGGCGGAGACGGACGCGCCGGCGTCCGCGAGGGAGGGAAGGGGGGTTGGGATTCTGCAACGCCGTCCTCCGCACGGCGCGGGCGCTCGGCCCGCTCTGGCTGAGGGGTGGTGTTGTGGTAGCCGGCTGCGTATTTGTGGGGGTTGAGCCAGGCTGCCAAGTTGTTTGAACGTTTTTACCGGGTTTACGAGGGAAAGAATGCACGGTTTACGTAGGATGTCGGCCCACATTGCAGGTGTGAAGAGTGCCGCAATGTTTTCAGTGGGAATGCAACGTGGGCTAAGCCCTGGAATATTTGTTCCTTGCTCCGTATTTTATGCTTATGACCTCTGTTCTCCCCTTAGGTGAAGGCGAGGGATAGGGTAAATGCTTTGCGAGATACGTGCTTGGGAAAAGACAGACCGTTTGGCGTATCTCGTTGATTACTATCCGTCTTGATGTTGGGTTGGTCACACTAGCTCCGCTTTGAAGGCATTTTTGCAACGAATAACGACACGAAACTAACTTAATCACGGCTTGTATTGGAGTGCTATGCTTTCTAAACACCCTTTGGCCCCTCACCCACCTTTCCAAGCCCCTTTACGAAGCGGGCCTTGTGTGTAACGTCAGAGCTTTTCTTGGCTTGCGTCTCCAATTAAGCTTTGAAATGTTTTACAGTCCTGGCTGAGACGATTTGCAGCTGGATCGGAATTTGGGTTTTCTACGCCTAGGTTGGCGAGAACAAAGACGTATTGGAGGACACGCAATTAGAGAAAGCACGCAAACCTGGCCACATTTACAAGCACACAGAAATACGTTGAGATTGAAGTTCAGCCTATGTAGTCACCTGTTGATTATGAGCAAACTTAATGTCTTGCCATGACTCACAGGAACGTGACCAATCACAGACATAATGTGGCGTAACTGAACTGACATAAAACAGCAACATCACATGACGTAACATAATAGACATGACACATCAACCTAACACGACGCCCTTATGACTCCACATGAACATAATTCCATATTCCAGTGTTCTCTATACATGCATAGCTCGTTCGGAAAGCAAACTGCACCCCATTAAGCGATGCGCGTATGTACATTAAAGTACGACTTTATCCATACATGTTCCCTAGGTTACAAATACTATCTTCATCGCACTAGAGTCAGGCCCTAGAAACGTCACACGTATATCCAGGAGTGACTAATAAATAGATTGTGGTGACTTTTCTGGTGGTGACTTCCAACTTTTCACTGGTGGTGACTTCCAGCAAACAATATAGGGCCATGAGCTGAGGTGGAATGAGTCTTATCTACCTGTCTGTCAGACTCTTGACGTGTTTTCTGGGAGTCTTTCTTTTTAAAGGTACAAGTCAGCGGATGGCCGTGGATTATGAGCTTTAAGCTACCACAGTGTCATCCCGTCGTATGGCGTCAGACTGATCCTTCATAGCTCAATCCTGCACCTTTCCTGACCACAATTGTGTGCCCTTTTGTCGCAGCTGAACTTGTCAGAACATTGAGACATTATTCATCATGTTCCATCTTTCCTATCTGTTATGTCTGGCCTGCCTGCCTGTCAGCATGTTTATACCGTCAATCAACAGGCCCGCTCGTCCTTTCGTGGTGTTCTTTTTCTTCGCTTTTTTAATGGCACTCCTCTTTCAGTTTCCTCGCCCTTTTTGAGTGTCTTCTTCTGATCCCCATTCGTCTCACAAGAGGCTGTGAATAGCTGAGCCAACAAACAGATCTAGTGGCAGTCACCCGGGCGCGTCTACCTTCAACACATAAAACGTTTTCAGTTCGCACGACTCGTTCCGTTTTCCGTCCGGATGGAGCGCGCTAGATCGACACTGTTCCGTCGCCCGCGTGCGCGTTGCTACACGTAGTCTCCTGACGTCTCCCAGCGAGGGCGATTTCCTTTCAGCGTTCAGGTCGGTTGAAATGAGGTTTGCTCTCGACCAAGCGCAAACGGGCCGCCGAATTGTGCCCCAGCGCCATGTCAAGGCCCAATTGATCCTGATGTGGTGAGCCCTTTCCCTGGGGACTGAGGGGCAAGTGCGCGTGTCTTCCGGCTGCTCGTTTACCTCTCTTACCCGCTACCCGTTATTTTAATAAAGCGATGCCTTGGTAAAGTTTGTATCTGCTTTCTAGGCATTTATTGTGCATTTGACGGTTTGCATATTGTTTGTCGTCATGCCATAGGTGTGGGGCGCGTAACCACCCACTGACATTTTGCCAGCGAGGCTTTGTAGCGCACACGGTGGTGATTCTAGTCGACTTCCAGCTTCAAAACGCATGCAAATTGCTCTGCTTTATACCCAAGACCTGAAGCGTTTTCCCCGCCCAGCTCAGTTTCCATTTCTCAGCCTCCCAGTCAATTTTACCCAGCTCGTCTGTTGTTTCGCTGTCTGCCATCTGGAAAACAAATTATTCCCAGCGCTCGGCTCTGCCAACGGCACACAGGCTTCCTCGGAGCGACCGGGTCCTGGAGGCGGGAAAACCGAGCGCGCGCCGGCGCCAGCGCAGCGCTCGACTGTATACGACGCCGAGGTTCCCGGAGCCGGCTTCGTCGCTCCCCTACGCAGCGGAGACTCTGGCGCTGGACGGGGGGGGGGGGGGGGGGAGCGGCGGGGTCGCTCTGTCGGTCCCGAGCCCGACACGTCCTGTCCGAGTCCGTCCCGGCCCGCTGGAGCGGCGTCCGCCGGCGCGACGCGACACCGCTGGCCGACCGGCTGTGACCGGGTCGGGGGTCACCTGTCCACCCGCCGGCCTGTCGCGGGGCGCGCCGCCGGCCCGGACGCCGGTTGTGGGGGGCATTGTTCACGCGCTGGCCGGCGGCCAGGTCGCGGCTGCGGAAGGTCGCCCTGTGACGTCACGCCCACGTCAGAGGGCTTTCTGGGGCGGCGACGCGTGGTCGGGCTTTGCGGTGATCTGCGCGCTCGGCTGGTCCGCGTCATGCGACTGACCGGCGGCCTTTGTGCCCCGCCGGACTAGACGACGAATGGGATCGGCCCATTATCGGTGTTATCGTGCTCAACGGTGGAAGACTTCCGTCGCGTGGGGCAAGCCGTTCTGCACCGGAGGAACATTGAGAGTGCGGCTCATGTGTATGCTTTATTGGCTGTGTAAACAGACGCCGTGATAACGATGTCTTGATTTGATCCATGTGGGAATGACACGGAAATGCAAGGAGACAGGGCTATGCACCGGAACCCCACTGGTGAAGGCTCAGACCTTTGGGTCTGGCCCCCATGAGCGACCCGCCGACGCCGCCCGAGCGAGACCCGGCGACACGACGTGACCAAGTGACGTCACCGGGTCAGAGGTCACGTGTCGGCTGGAGGCCAGCAGGAGTCGGGAGCGGAGTCCCGGTGCGAATGGTATCCACGTGTTGTGGGCCCCGTGGGGAAATATGATCTGCTGGGAGCGGCGCAGGAGAGCTGATCAGGCTCATTACTGACTGGCGGTGAGGAAACGCGCCGCGCTTAGATATTTCGGTGAGATGATGGGTAGTCGTGCTGGCATCCTGGAAGCGTGGCATAAAGCATGCTATTTTAAAACACTGTATGTTGCTGCTCTCTTGGCGGCATGGGATGGCCGTGGTGCGCCCCCGCGCCCACATCCACCCCCTCCCAGTTTGTTGAGGAGGCTGGTGACTTATTCTGCGCGACAGGAGCCGACTGAGCCTAGGCTTGCCAACCTGTTGGAAACCTGATTGAACGGAAGTGGTCGACCGCCGTCGCCGTCCGTGTCAGCGGCAGCGAGCGGCTCCACTTGGCCCCATGTCGGACGGACCGAGCGGGGCTCTGTCGGCGGACCCTGGGGGCGCCGGCGCCGGCTCCCACCGGGCTGGAGCTGCCCCCGCGCCGGCTCGGACCCACGGCCGCCGGCGGGACGCCTGAAATAGCGCGCCGGGTGACGGGCGCTGCGACCCCGACAGCCGGCGGCGGTGTTCTGGTGCAGCGGCGCATGTGCGCGCACCGTCCAGCGGTCG